CCTTTTTTGATGGCTTTTTCCAGACAGGGGTTCATGAACTATTTGCCCAGGGCTGGCTTTGAACCACAATCCTCCTGATCTCTGCCTCCCGAGTAGTTAGGATTACAGGCATAAGCCACTGGCACCCAGCTAGCCCTTCCTTTTTTTTGTTCTTTTTTCCTACTGGCTGTGTGATAAAATGACCATTATTAGTGTCAGGTCTCTTCATCCTACAGATTTTCTTCCATGCTTTTTTTTTTTTTTTTTTTTTCTTTCGAAGGGAGGAATATGGGGGATTGAACTGGGGCCAATCTACCTCAAGCCACACCCCCAACCCCCTCTTTTTTTTGGTGAGACTGAGGTCTGAACTAGGGCTTCACACTTGCAAGGAGGCACTATATACATGCTTGAGCCACACTTCCAGTTCATTTTGCTCCAGTTATTTTGGAGATGAAGTCTTGGGAATTATTTGCCCAGACTGGCCTCAAAATCCAATCTTCCCAATCTCAGCCTCCCAAGAAGCTAGGATTACAGAAGAGAACCACCGGCGTCTGTCTCTCAAGCTTCTTTATTAGTTTCATACCACAGAAATGTTTCAGGCAACTTAGCATGCTCATAAATTAATATTTGATTATGTAAAGGTATCAAAACCAAAAGCATGGTGCTACATGCCTATAATCCCAGCTACTCAGGAGGTAGAGATCCAGATGATCACAATTCCAGGCCAGCCTAGACAAGACCCCATCTCAGTCAATAAACTGAGGCGTCTTGTGCCTGCAATCCCAGTTATACAGAAAGAACACACAGGAGAATCACTGTCTGGTACTATCTCTGGGCAAAAACCTGAGACCTTATCCAGGAAAATATTGCTAAAGAAAAAAAAGAGCTGGGAGTGTGACTCAAGTGGTAGAGTGCCTGCCTAGCCTGCCTAGCAAGCATAAGGCTCTGAGTTCAAACTCCAGTATTGCCAAAAAAAAAAAAAAGATGAGGTTAACAATGCCCTCACAGCCCTGAAACTGATGATAGTAGCATACCTGTCAGAGCTGCCACTCCCCAGGAGGCCATCAGGACCAAAATCAAGCTGACATTTCTCTATCATGGGCCTCTTCATTCCACTTGTGTGTGGGGGGCGGCGGGGGGGGGGTATTAAACTTCCCTGATGGTCCCCAGGTTGTGGGGCCCATAGGTACAAGGGCTATGGTTTCCAGGCATTTGTTCCACCCAGTAGGACCTCTTTAAAGTCAGCTCCCCTGCTCCACTGCACACTTGGCAGGGCAGAAAGTAGCCTGCCTTCTCCACTGCACCCACAGAACCTAGTGCCCTCCAACAAGGAAAATCAGAAGGCAGCAAATCAGGGGTTGGTGGATATCTGGATACAGCACACTCTGGGGGCAGTAATTAACCCCTAGAGAATCTGAGACAGCTGTGATCCTCTCTCCTAAAAAATGCACATCTCGTCCAAACTCTGCACATAATTTGAGGAATGGGCAGCCTTCTGGAGGCCAAGAGTCAAAATCTCCTCCCAATTACACATGGAGAATCTTAAGGTCAGTCTCTTCGCATCACATGACACAAAGGGAGGAGGAAGGTTTCCTACTATGTGGTCCTTCAGGACCCCAAAAGCCCTCAGGTATCAGTTTCCAGGGTTTTTTTTTTTTTTAATTGAGATGGGGGGTCTTGCTACATTGTCCAGGCTAGACTCAAACTTGTAATCCTCCTGCCTCAGCTTCCCAAGTAGCTAGGATTACATTGTGCCTGGCATGGAGCTCTTTTTTCTTTTTGTCAGTACTGGGGTTTCTTAGGATCTCACACAAGTGCTCTACCATTTGAGATCAGCCCACAGCCCATTTTGCTTTAGTTTTGGGTTTTTTTTTTTTTTTTTGGTTTTTTTCATTTTATACTACTGGCTGTGGTTTGAACTCAGGACCTCCTGCTTGCTAGGCTGGTGCTCTGGGCTGGCCTGGACTGGGATGTTTTATATACAGTCTCCTGAGGAGCAGGGATCACACGACACCCAGCTTACTGAGTGTGATGGAGTCGTTAATTTTTCACCTGGGCTAGCCTCAAACTGAAAACTTACTGATCTCTGCCTCCCAAGTATCAGATTACAGGTGTGAGCAAGAGCTCATTTTTGAACGAGCCTTTGTAGTTCCATCTCAATTTTTTTTCCACCAAAAAGATTAACAGTGAGTCCTTCAAATCTAGCCATCAAAGCCAAAAGGTCTCAAACACAAGGGAGTGAACAGTAAAAACCAGCATATAGGAAACTACAAAATGGATGCTTCGATAACAAATTACAAGAAAAAATAGAGCAAGTACATATAAACTGAAGAGACCAAAGAGCCATTTCAATCAAATGCAATCAATCATATCTTATTTGAATTCTTAGTTACTGGGCAGACAACCAGGGACATTTGGACATGACAACTTCAAAAAAAAATTAAGGAATTACCATTGTTTTTTTAGGTACAATAACGATATTATAGATTTCATGGCTAGCTCATTATTTCTTAGAGATATAGACTGAAATATTTATGAGTAAAATAACATTTCTGGGGACTGGAGGCATAATAACACAGTGGTAAAGTATTTGACAAGGCCTTGGATGTGATCCCCAGCACAGCAAAACACACACACAAAACATTTCTGGAATGTGCTTTCTTAAAAATTCAGTTTACTTTTTTAAAAAAAGAATGAGACAATGAGGAGGTTGGGTGCAGAGTATAGATGAAATAAGATTGGTCAGGAACTGGTTAACTGTTGAAGCTAGTGATAAGTGATATTCAAAACAACTATGCATCATCTTAGCAAATTATCTTTTCCTTCAAACTCTGAGGTGAAATCTAAATTCAAGTTTTTTGGAAAAGGACATTTCCTGCAAAATCACTACAACTACTTGTTACTATTATTAAAGGTCACACAAAAAAGCAAAAACATTATTTATTTAAAAAACAAAAAATGCTTTAAAATGTAATCATCTGTTTATTTTCTACAGTATAAAAATATGCTCAACTTAATTCTTTTCTTTTTTTTGAGACGGTATTTTTATTTTATTTACTTGTTTTTTTCCAGTACTGGGGTTTGTACGGAGCCTACACCTTGAGTCACTCCACCAGCCCTTTTTTGTGATGGGTTTTCTTCGAGATAGGGTCTCATGAACTATTTGTCCGTTCTGGCTTTGAACCATGATCCTCCTTATCTGCCTCCTGAGTACCTAGCATGAGCCACGGCGCCCAGTTGAGACAGGATCTTGCTACGTAGCCCAGGCTGGCTACTCATGATTCTCCTACCAGGATTACCAACTGAGGTCCCAGGCTGAGTTCCAAGTTTATAGGCTGTGCCATCAAGCCTGGCTTCAATTTGTTTCTTAAGAGAATAAACCCACTACTTGAAAACAAACAAACAAAACTTCACTGAAAGGGAAAATTCTTCCCCAACAGATCCTCTTTATGAGTCAAACAATGGAAAATTTTCACCTCAGCAACTTGGCCTCAGGGAAGAGGCTCAAGCTCATTCCTGTTGCCTAGATACCAGTGACATCTCTGGGGTGTAAGAAGACTGGCATCTCTCTGCACTTGGAGTTTAAGGTTCATCAGTTAGCAGTTGCTCCTTCCTGGTATATTTCCAATGTTCATATAGGTGCAGGGTTGGTTTACAGTGTTCTTGGCTGTCACCTAGGAAGCTTTGAAGCTCCCAAAAAAGTCTATTACATCTGATAAACTGGTTTCTATGATTATGTCAACCCTAGTCCTATTTCACTTGATTTCTAACGATGCCTGTGAATTCTACTTTAAAATCAATGCAGGCAAACCAATTTGAATAACAGTCAAAAATACAAATGATTTTTTCTGCAAAGAAAAAGTTATTAGGTAATCAACTGTCCTATAATGTCAAATATGATAAAAATATTGTTTTGCCACTTCTGATTCTGATAGTGGCTAACATTAAAAAACCACCACCCAGGAATTTCTCTTTAAATACTTAACACCAAGTTACGGAATACAATTATACAAACCCCACAGCAACAACTTATGTAAATAAGCATCTTAGTTCACTTAAAATATTATTCCACTAAAAATCAACTGCAGCAAACATTTTAAATATTAGAACTCAACAAAAATCACTGTTATCAAGATCCTTTATTTTTTTAAAAAATCATGAAACTGTTAATCTGCAACCTTTTTTTGTTACTTTTCCAAAGTTTCAGTACTTTTTCTTAAAACTATTTTTCCGAGCACTGGATTTTACTGGTTTCTACATGTTATTTTCACTTATTTTTCTGCTAGTACAACTTTCTTGATATATGAGATGGAATAAAATCCTAAAATGAAACAAGTCCTTAAGATGCAAAAGATGAAACCAGTCTGTAATCAAATGTGTGGAAGCTCCACTCATAGGGGAAACCTCAGTACAAAGAAGTCTTCAGATCCATTTTACGACGTTTTTAAAAGCACCATGCTCGGATGTGCAGATTTCCCCCATCAAATGCTAGGCCCAATGGCATTCAACACCCAAAATGGCTGCACGTCTGTCAGGTCCAGGTAACAGTACCTGAGGTGCTGGGCTGACCCCTACACCCAAAGATTGGAAACCCCATCCCCAACGATTTGGGAGATCGTGGCCGTCAATGACCTGGGGAGACCTCTCAATGATGCGGGACATACTGCACCCACTCAGAGACCCAGAGAGACCTCCTCCAAGACTGGGGAAGACACTGCCCCTCCCCCGAATAGGGTGACCCCCCCTCCAATGACCGGAGATTCTGCTCGTCTCCAAAGCCAGGGGAGATGTTCTCTCCCCAAGGACGTGAAGATGCAATGCTCCTCTCAACTGGTCAGGAGAAATCTGGCTCCATTAAGACCGTGAGAGACCTCCTCCACAATGACAGCGGGAGACACCCTCTCTAAATGACCTGGGGAGACACTCAATGACCAGAGACCTCACCTCCCAACAGTACTGATAAACCTTCTCCTAAAGCTCCTTGGGCGACAGGGCCATCGGCCTGGCGAAGCGGGCGTTACCTGCGGCCACAGCCAGATCCTTCTGCGTTTCCGTCCTATTGTTTCTCTTCCACCAAAATGGCTGCGGCCGCGCTGAGCCCCGCCCCCAAAGCCTCACTCCCGGCGCCTCCCGCTATTGGCTCGTACCAAAAGCCGCGCACGCGGACTGGACAGCCTGAAAGGCGCTGTTGCTAGGGCGCTGGGATTCGCTGCTGCAGCTTCCGGAAGGGGCGGTGAGTGGGGCGGGGCCAGAAAGGGGGCGGAGCATTGTTCTCCAAGAGGAGGGCTGCCAGGGGCCTTTAGTTGTGTGATTGGAGTGACAGATGGGTCCTTACAGGATTCCTAGGAGACAGGTGGATCAACCAACAGCCCGAGTTTGCCCCGCAATGGTCCGGGAATTTCAGTCTAACATCCAGTCTGCAGCAAATTGGGAAGTTGGTCACACTAGCAGATGAATGGACAGGACTGGATGTGAATGGTCACTAAGATGGATAAAAAAGTGGTTGAAGAGAAAAGGACAGACGACTAATTGTAGATAGTGGACAAAGAAATGGTTATATAAGCTCATGGATAGATGAGTGCATGTGGATGGATGGACAGTGTAGTAGCTATAGAATTCCCTGTGCACTGGTAGATGACTCAGAATCATCCACCAAGCACCATACCACAGGGCCTGTCTGAGGCCTGTGTTGGTCAGAAGGACTCCCACCAGAGTGAATGAATGTCAGAGCAGCTGGGAAAGGCAAGAGATGTGGTGGGTCCCCTTGAGGGTGAGAGAGCTCCTACACGATCTTCGCTCTTTATGTAAAGAAGGCTAATGTTGCCGCCCTGTGTCTTGGACATTTGCAAAGATATGGAATCACACACACACTCTTTAACTCAGTAAGTATTTATCAAGCACCTTCACTGTGTTGAATATACAGCAGTGAACAAACACTTTAAAAAAAAATCCCTGGAGTTGGTAGAGTGGCTCAAGTGGTAGAGTGCCTGCCTACCAAGCATGAGGCCCTGAATTCAAACCCCAATACCATACCAAAAGCAAACAAACAAACAAAAACGAGCTAGGTGTGGTGGTGCATCCCTATAATTACAGATCAGGAGGTGGAGGTAGGTGGTAGGAAGATCATGGTTCAAGACCTTCTCAGGCTAAAGGGTAAAACCCTATCTGAAAAGCAAAATAAAGCTAAAAGGGCTGGGGGTATGCCTCAAGTATAGAGCCATGCGCTCTACCCAGAATGAGGTTACCTCTTGTTATGTCCACAGCAGTGTCACAACTCCTTCCCAGTCCCCTGCTGCCACCCTTGCTGCCTTCAGCCCGTTTCCCACATATCAGTCTGTGAAGTCAGGTCTTCTCATACCCTGCTCAGAACTCTGAAGTAGCTCTTCCCCACCCAATATCCTGTTCCAGTGCTCCTGTATGTAGAGGGGAGGCTAGAATAGGCAGCCCTAACATTAATTCACTCTGATTCTTTTTGTAAGTGCTTACCATAGGCTGACTAGACACTGAGGATGTGGCAAGAAACAACATGGCAAGAATATGACTAATTTATGGGACTTCTATCTTGCAGTGGTGGAGGAGGGGCAAGGGATGGATATGAGGAATAGATAAAATAGACAGAAAAGGAAAAAATAACACAATTATAGGCAATGTAACTACAATACAGAAAAGGAACCAAGATGATACATAAAGTATGATATTTATGCCCAATGCAGCAGGAAATGTGGATCAAGAAGGAGACAACTGAGCTAAGATTAACCCAAAGGCATTGGATTGGTAGGAAAAGGTCCAGGGGAAGCCATTCTTGGTAAGAAGTATAGTGAGTACAAAGACTCTGAGGAAAGAACAAGTCTGGTGATTGAAAGAAAATGAAGGCACTTGGATCCAATGGAAGAAATAGCTCAGAACTCAAGAGAAAGATGCACAGAGCTGGAGGGCAAGTCCGGGAATTCTAACATGCAAGTAAAAGGAATTCCAGCTGGGCATGGGAGGCTCATGCCTGTAATCCTAGATACTCAGGAGGCAGAGATCAGGAGCATCATGGTTCAAAGCCAGCCCAAGCAAATAGTTCATGAGACCCTATCTTGAAAATACCCATCACAAAAAAGGGCTGGCAGAGTGGCTCAGGTGAGGGTCCTGAGTTCATGCCCCAGTATGTCAAAAAAAAAAAAAAAGGAATTCTAGAAGGAATAAAAGGAATTCCAGGAGGAGAAAAAGGAGCCATCAAAAGAGTTATTGAAAGGTGTTGGTGGCTCACTCCTGTAATACTAGATACTCAGGAGACAGAGATCAGGAGAATCACATCTTGAGGCCAGTCCAAGCAAACAGTTCTGAAAACCCTATCTCAAAAATACCCAACACAAAAAAGGACTTGTGTAGTGGCTCAAGTGGTAGAGTGCCTGCTTAGCAAGCATGAGGCTCTGAGTTCAAACCCCAGCACTGCCAAAATAAACAACTGGAGGCATAGCACTTGTGCTCTACACAGGACCACAAAAAAAAAAAAAGTTAAAGTGATAAATACAAGAAAAAAAATTTTTTTCTTTTGCACTACTGGGGATTTAACCCAGGGCTTTGCACATGCTAGACAAGCATGCTCTACCACTTGAACTATGCCCCTAGCCCAAGAAAAATATATTTAAAATAATAATATGTGGTACAAATAAGTCCCTAAAATTAGTAATATGAACAAAACATTTGACAACAAAAAGTATAAAATATTTAGGAATCAATGTATTGAGAAAAGTACAATGTGGGAAACATATTAAATCTTATTACAGGACATGAATGTAAGGTTGGCAGAGTGGCTCAAGTGGTAGAGTGCCTGCATAGCAAGCCCAGTAAGCATGAGGCCCTAAGTTCAAACCCAAGTTTCATCAAAAAAAAAAGTAGAAGAGGACATGAATGTAGAATATTAATAAAGGGTAAGATATGAACAAATAGGAAGACATACTAAGTCTCCATCAAGTGGTGTGTGGTCCAGATATCAGCTCTCAGCTGTGGCTCTTTCTAGGCAAGGTCTTCAGCAGAAGGCATCCACCTCACAGAAGTTTAGCCATTCTCCACCCTGAAGAAATCTCATGCCCTCCCAATAAAAAAACTAAAAATGAAAACAGAGCAAAATAGATTGGAGGTGTGGCTCAAGCAGTAGAGGGGCTGCTTTGCCAGTGTAAAGCCCATAGTTCAAACTCCAGTCCCACAAAAAGAGAGAAAGGAGAGATGAGAGAGAGATGGGGTCTAGACTGGCCCCAAATTCCTAGGCTCTGGCCCAAAAGACCAAAAATCATATGTTCTCCCTCATATGTGGCCATTAGATCAAGGACAAACACAACAAGGGGATTGGACTTTGAGCACATGATAAAAGCGAGAGCACACAAGGGAGGGGTGAGGATAGGTAACGCACCTAAAAAATTAGCTAGTATTTGTTGCCCTCAACGCAGAGAAACTAAAGCAGATACCTCAAAAGCAACTGAGGCCAATAGGAGAAGGGGACCAGGAACTAGAGAAAAGGTTAGATCAAAAAGAATTAACCTAGAAGGTAACACACACGCACAGGAAATTAATGTGAGTCAACTCCCTGTATAGCTATTCTTATCTCAACTAGCAAAAACCCTTGGTGCTTCCTATTATTGCTTATACCCTCTCTTCAACAAAATTAGAGATAAGGGCAAAATAGTTTCTGCCGGGTAGCAAGGGGTAAGGGGGGGTAAGGAGGGGGCGGGGGAGGGGGGAGAAATAACCCAAACATTGTATGCACATATGAATAAAATAAAAATTAAAAAAAAATTCCTGGGCTCAAGTGATCCTCCTGGCTCAGTCTCCCAAATAGTTGTGACTACTGGTACGTACCACCATGACCAGCCCGTCTTTTTTTTTTTTTGATGGTACTGTGTTTGTGTTTGAACTCAGAGCCTCATGCTTGCTAGGCAGAGCCACTCTACCAGCCCTGTTTTGTGTTGGGCATGCCTATATTACCAAAATTCAAGTAAAATTAAGATTCATGTATTTTTGGGTCTTATAATCTTCATCTTAGTATTCTCATAGAAATCACTGAAAAGCGTGATAGTCAAGATATTTGTTGCTTCATTATGTATCATGTATAGTAAGAAAAAAACCACAACATGATTGCATACCCACAAGGGCATGGTTGGAGACATTTTGGAACCTCCATATTGTTCCAGTTATTACACTGTGATAACAAATTACCTCCAATTTAGTGCCTTGAAACAGTATTTCTTTTGCTCACAAATCTGCCAAAGGATTCAATTGAGTCACCTTCTCTCTGCTGTATCGTCTTGGAGGCCTTTCACTTGAAGTCTGGTTTTTGAGGCTAGCTGTCATCTTGTTATCAAGGAAAAGCCTTATCCCATGTAATGCCCTTGGTAAGTGCCTAGAATCAACTCAGATGTCAGATAATATGCTAGAGCAAAATTACTGCAGTTTCTTAGTTGATTTAAAAACCACTAATTTTGGAGGTTACTGACCGCCTTTGCTGTACATAACACCTTTGATGTATGGCTTGTGATAACAGTTGCCTAGATTATTTTATAGAAACTTGAAGTCTGCTTCTGTTGAAAACACTGACTCTTGGGCCTACAGATGTCTAATGGATGATGAAAATGGATAAAAAGACTTGCATCTCTGTCTTCAGACTGTGTCTGTCCCCTTTGCTGTCAGATTCTACTTAGCCCTACACATAGATATATTTTTTTCTTTTTTTGATGGTACTGAGGTTTGACTTTGGGCCTCACTTTTGCTAGGCAGGAGCTCTAATGCTTGAGTCACTCCACCAGTCCTTTCTTGTGATAGGTTTTTTCAACTTAGGGTCTCACACACTATTTGCTTTGGGCTGACTTCAAATGGCAATCCTTCTGGTCTCTGCCTCCTGAGTAGCTAGGATTAGAGGTGTGAGCCACTAATCATAGACATGTTGTTAAAAAAATGTTTTCTAAAAGACTATACGTAATATAGGGTCAATTTGGCCTATTGCCCATTGGAGCTGGTATGTGTTTTGTATTTCTTCTACCCCACCCTTGTGCCTTTTTTTAATCTTTAACCGCTCAGGCATTGAAAGA